GAGGAACTACCTATTAAATTTGCATGGTCTTGATGATACTTGATGTTTTTTCCATAAAGACTAAGATGAGGTGTCTCAATTTTTCTTGTGTTTGGTGCTTTTTTTAATCCCTTTTCCTTTAAGTGTTTTTTGTCTACTTTTGTATATTCTTTTAAACATAGTCATATCAATTTGATATCTTGCAAAACACATATTAACATAGCAATTATTTGTCAAAGACCCGTTAGACCAAAACAAAATACACATTGCTGTTTGAAATTGATATCACTAGATTTAAAAATATGTTATAATATTTGAAAGGCCAAGAGTACATCGCTACATGTTCATCACGTAGTCTCGTTTGAAAAGAGCCCACGATTAATGTGCTAGCTAGAGCACTATGAAATGATTTTTACATGAAATTTGACCATTCTTCCTCACATGGACATGTTGGTCAAAGTTTTAAAATTATAGTATTAAAAGAAAATGTTTTCTATGATAAATTCAATGATATTGTTTCCACCCACACAATCTTAATATTTCTATACCTATGTGAGTCACAGTTAGTGAAGTTCATACTTTAGGACCACATATATTTCAAAAGGAGGTTGTATTATCTTGTTAGTTCAAAACAATTAGCACAATGTCTAATACAGTAATGCGGAAGTTGTCTTTACTTATCATTATACATTTTCTTTGCAAATACCATCAATTTATGAAGTTAAGTATGAAATTAATTACACGATTCAATGTCTATTGTACATTGTCTATATTGCATTTCTTGTAATAAATGCTTTATTTTTTCAAACCATGAAGGAGATATCCATGTATTCATTAGAAAGAAAGAAGAGTACAACGACAAAGATGACACCACCGTTACAACGCCAAAGATGACACGACCAGCCACATCATAAACTTAAACAACAACAACAACAACAACAACAACAACAACAACAACAACAAACGACCTAAAGATCCACAACACAAGCGTCGATGACCAACATGCTAGAAAGCATAGACCATACGCCGAAATGAATTTGTGAGTTCTAAAAGCAAGGATCATGACACTAGAAATGTGATGACATCCACCACCAGCCCGAGAAGAATCCGCTTAGCACCGACCAAGCGCTGTTCTTGACTCACCACCGTCGTCCCGCGCCTCCTTCGCTTGCCGGAGCTCCCACCCACCATCGGACTCAATCAGCCACCTCACCTTCGCCGCCACCTCCTGGGCTTCCACCATTTCTTTGTCATACCCCTCAATGGCCACGGTCAGCCGCATCTCCTCGACTAAGAACACCTTGTTTGTGTGCTGCTCGGTGTACAGAGGCCACGCCAGCATCGGCACCCCCGCCATGACCGCCTCCAGCACCGAGTTCCATCCGCAGTGTGTCACAAACCCGCCCACCGCGCCGTGCGCCAGCACTGCCTGCTGCGGCACCCACGACATGACGACCAGTCCCCTCTCCTTGGTACGGTGTAGAAAGCCTTCCGGAAAAAGTGCGTCGAGGTCGTCGGCCAGCTGGTGCTCGTCGCGGGGCACCGGACAACCCACAAGAACCGTTGCCCACTCGTCTCCAGCCCCGCCGCCATCTGCTTGATCTGCTCAGCGCTGAACCGGCCCAAGCTGCCAAAACTGAGAAATACCACACTTGCCTTCTGCTGGCTATCGAGCCACGCGAGACACTCGTGGTGCTTCTGCGTCCCAACCTCGTCGGGCTTTATCAGCGGCCCTATGCAATACAACGGTGGTGTTCGTCACCCGGGGAGCATGCAGAGGCCGAAGACGATGGCATCGGTGGCGCGCGGCTCCAAGGAGCGGCAGCTGTTGACAATAAGGCCCTGTGAGTTGCACAAGCGTTCGGATGCGCCGAGGAAGAACTTACTGCTCAAGCTGTCGCGATCGAGGATAAACGCGGGCAGGTGATCTGCTGGTATCAGTGGTAATCTCGGGACGTGCACAAAATCACTGGCGAGGTCTCCGAAGCTCAGAGCGGTCTGCTCATGGATGACTGCTCGGTAGAGACAGAAGGCGACGCTGGCGATGCAAGTGGTGTGAAAGAAGTAGGTCGGAATGCCGAGCTCAACGCCGACGTCGAGCACGCTGCTGTAGAAGAAATCGATGACGAGTGCTACCGGGGCCGGGGAGGCGGACCGGAGGAAGTCACGGAGGTCCGGGCTGGAGGCGCGCGCGAGCCCGAAAAGCTGCGCCTCAAAACTCCCGGCGGGCACGTCGGAGGGGAGCGTGGCACGGGGGAGACAGTGGAAGGACAAGGATGGGCTGGCTGCCTCGATGACGGTGAAGAACGAACCACCAGCGCCGTGTGTCGGTGTCAAAACCGGCGGATCTCGGGTAGGGGGTCCCGATCTGTGCGTCAAGGCTGATGGTAACAAGAAGTAAGGGACACAGGTATTTACCCAGGTTCGCGCCCTCTCGATGGAGGTAAAACCCTACTTCCTGCTTGATTAATATTGATGATATGGGTTGTACAAGAGTAGATCTACCACGAGATCGTAGAGGCTAAACCCTAAGAGCTAGTCTATGATGGTATGAATGTAATTTTGATCGGCCTTCTAAGGACCAACCTCTCCGGTTTATATAGATACCGGAGAGGGCTAGGGTTTACATGGAGTCGGTTACAAGGAAGGAAATATAATATCCGGATCGCCAAGCTTGCGTTCCACGTCAAGGAAAGTCCCATTCGGACACGGGCCGAAGTCTTGAGTCTCGTATCTTCACGCTTCCATAGTCCGGACGTTGTACACAGTCCGGCTGTCCGGACACCCCCTAATCCAGGACTCCCTCAGTAGCCCATGAACCAGGCTTCAATGACGATGAGTCCGGCACGCAGTATTGTCTTCGGCATTGCAAGACGGGTTCCTCCTCCGAATACTCCAAAGCGGTTATCGAACATGTAGACCGTGTCGGGATCCGCAGGACGATCTTCGTATGGTATAGATCTGATTTGTTGGCAATCTTCGTGCGTCGTGCCCTTGTATCATGGTTCGGTCCAATGTGAACCGACGCTTCCTACCCCACAGGACTCGCATTACGAGGCAGTTTTATTGGCACGTCCCATCGAGGCAGAGATCGTGTCCCTCTTATTACGGGATTTTCCATTAATATGAGCGTGCGTGACCCCACGACGGCCGTTGGTATTACCCCGTGTGTTTTTAGATAAGCCTCAAACGGTCACACCGGGGACTCTTGATATTCACCCTCTTTATAAAGGGGTCGAGACTTACGCCTCTTTCTTCACCTTCATCGCGCCTTCCCGCACCTTGAGTTCTAACACCCAAAACCTAAGCTCCACCCCTCCGGAATCCGCCAGTATGTTCAGATCTGATCCTCAAGGCCGGTGGGTCGCCTCCTCGATCGAGGAGATGGACATTGCGAAGCTTAGGGAGGTCGGATACCTAACTGCAGATATCCAGCACAGGCTTCCCGCTCCGGGGCAGGTTATCCCCACACCGGAGCCCAATGAGTGTGTTGTTTTTGTCCCACACTTCCTCCGTGGTTTGGGTTTCACCCTCCATCCTTTCGTGAGGGGGCTCATGTTCTATTATGGGCTGGATTTTCATCATCTGGCTCCAGATGCCATCCTCCATATCTCGTTGTTCATTATCGTGTGTGAGGCTTTTCTCCATGTCACGCCACACTTCGGCTTATGGCTCAAGACCTTCAATGTGAAGCCGAAGATGATCGAGGGGCGACATGTGGAGTTTCGAGGTGCCGTAATAAGCAGAAACACCGATGCCCCATGGTCGGAGGGTTCTTTCCCGGAAGTATCTGCCGTATGGCAGCGGAGGTGGTTTTATGCCAAGGCCCCAAGGGGCACAAACTGGGTAGCCACCCCTGAGTTCCGCTCAGGCCCTCCGTCGTAGTTGGCGTCCTGGACAAACGTAGGATGTAATTGGGAGCCCGCACGCGATGTACCAGTACTGCAGAACCGCATCCAGAAGCTTCTCGAGAGGGATATCAACCTTGTTAGCATAATGCAAGTGATGTTAATTCGGCGGACGTTGCCGTGCCAACGCCGGCCTCTTCGGATGTGGGAGTTCAATCCGGGGGGTCCGCGGACTGTGAAGCACTTCTTCGGCTTAAAGCTCGAAGAGATGTGCAAATTATTCTTCGGACGGAAGGTAACATGTCCGGATACCACCAAGGATGCGGGCCTAAGCTGCAACCGCCTAGATACTCAAGTAAGTGGCCTTGATACCAGACACCCTGTTTTGTATTTGTCATACTTGTTTATTCTGAACATCATCCGCGTCCAGCAGTGGCTCAGCAAGGCGGAGAGAATCAGGTGTCCGGCACCACTTCCCTAAGGCTCGCCCGCCCCTACCGTGGCCAAGATGCTCGACCGGGTACTCAGCCGAATGCCCTCGGGGAAAGACAAGGGAAGGACGAGAAATCCAAACCCCACATACTACGCATCCGAACCGGGGATAGTCGGGGAGGAGAGGTCGAGGCCGCCTCCCCACGCGGGAAGAAGAGGGCCGCCTCCGAAGATTTGGAGGCCGAGATGCCCAAATTGGGGAAAAAGGGATCCCCAGGGGTCCTTTCCCCGACAGACACAATCACCGCATCATGCCCTCAAACAGGCCAACCCTCCAATGAGTCGTAAGTCAATCATTAACTTAAAGGTACTGTATTTCTCCTGGATCAATGACTAGGACTCAACTTTTTGCAGTCCAGCTGGCAGCTCTTCTCAAGAGGGATCGTCTTCGGGCGACCTTCCTCCGGAGATGATGGAGAGCGAGACCCCACCCGCCTCTCCAGTTCTTGACGCGGGTGACACCGAGGTGTCGTCACAGAGGAGCCCGGATCCGCCAAGGCCGGAAGCCAATGCGTCAGCCGCCTTAAGTCCGGACGTACTGACGGGCTTACTGGAGCGAGCTGCGCTCTCGGAGGAGCACCGCTCATTAATGAGCGCGGTGCTCAAGAAGATTTCATCCGCTACAAGCAGTTTGAATGAAGCTTTCACAAGCCTGCTCAGAGTCTTTGAGGTATGTAATGGAAAACTCACTATTTCTTTGGTTGTAAGGCACGCGCTAGGTGTGCTCCATATAGATAGCAGCCCTTGAGACTCTGGTTGCCCGCCCTAGGTGGCAAACGGGGGATCATAAACCAATGATAGTTCTGTAAACGTGTGCAGGTACCTGTGGGTCCGGCTGCCGGCCCGTCCGTTGAAGTTGCCGAACTATCGAGGCAAATTGGGTCGATTGATGCCAAATTTGACCGAAGGAGCCTACGCCGGACAGCTACTTTGGTTTAGTGCAACAGTTCCTTGGGGCCGTGCCCCGGATCGATGCCATGAGGAGGTCAGCACGCATAGAGGGTGCGTGGATGGCCTTTGCACGCGTTAAAGCGTATTAGACGGATATGGATGCCACTATGATAGCGTCTCAGGATCCGATAGGGGGTCAACATCCGGCCGGGCACTACTTGGCGCAGGTTACGGAGGGTGCCCGCCTGATAGAGGCGCAGTGCCCGAAGGATCTCCTCTTTTAGTGATGATTCAAATTTTTGTAAAAACATTTTGATTAGAAGGTTATATTTATAATTTGTGTTTGAAAATATATATACAGACCGTCTATTCTGCTAATATTAGCAGAATAACTATTCTGCACACCGCTTCCGTACTGCACGCTGAACAGAAGCGCACTGCATCGTTTTAACGACGAGCACTGCAATGCTTCACGGGGGAACTGCTTCATTTTTCGGTGTTCCGCCCGCGCGCGTTCTATGTGGAATCGGGTGTCGCGGGATGATTCAGTTTGTGTCTGCATCTCATTTTAGCTTTATTCTTTCTGATTTACAGGAAAATATACTATAGTGCTTGCAAATCGACGGATTTGGCGGACGAGCTTTCTCTGTTCGTTCGTGTTCGCGTCAGATGCGTTTTTTTGTGCTCGGATGTTGTTATTTAGTAGGAATTCTTTGATTGCATTCGTTTTAATCGGTTCATTCACTCTATAATTTGTTAATTTTTAGGAGTTAGTTTTCAATTCTTGGTATGTTGGTTGTGCGGGCGGGTGAGCTTCGTCCGCTCCTCTGATCTTTGTTGATTTTTTTGATTTTTGCCCGTCCACGCGTGTTTTAATATTGTAATTACTGTTGCTGTAGGTTTGAATTCATTGTATTGCGGGTATAATTGTCATTTTTTGAATCGCGTTTTTTAAATGAAAGCTGATGCTGTTCGTCAAGTTGCCATGTCTTGCATGTAAATTTTTGTTGGTGTATTGTTCGATGGTTTAGTGGCTGTAGAATTTTTAGGCGAGTTATGGAAGTGCGAGTGAAATTGACACCTCTATCAGTCTATCACATTGTCTGTAGTTTTACTGCTTTAATTTTATTTGTTGTAGTCGCGGAAACGTTGTAGTGTACTGCATTTTCTTTGATAGCGTACTTCGTGTAGCTTTAGTACAGTGGTTATTGCTGTTTAT